TCTAGCCCAGCCTTAGCCGGCTGTAAAGAGGGTCCCTGTGAGCCTGCATCAGCAAGAATGCATTACACTGCCACTGTTGGGATCCTGATGGTCCCATATCTTCATGCATGTGATGGTTACCTGTGATCATGAACTTGACTAGATTAAGAGACACCTTGCAGATTAGTGAAGCACATTTGGAGTGTGTCTGGTGGGCTGTTGGGGAGTGACCTTGGCAACTGTACCTGGTCGGTGGTGCTTTCCTCTGTGGTTCTCCCCTACTCTGCTTTCAGAAATGAGCAGCTTTGTTCCTTATGCCCTCCTGCTGTGTTTTGCCAGCGCACCATGAACCAAACCTCAAACTGAGAGTCAGATTAAACCTCTTCTCCTTGAAGTTGTGGCTGTCAACTGTTTTGTGGCAGTGACCAGAAAGCTGACCAATACAAGAAGTTACCAATTAGGTTTTCATTTTTCTCCTGCTTACACAAGTGTTTGATTCTATAGGCTGATGTGATAGACTAGGAGAGCTCCAGAAGTACGGTACCAGCAACCTCTGCTGCCCTGCAAGTGGGCTGGGTGCCAGGACCCACCCAGCACATTCCTTCCCCTTTGAAAGAAGAGTATGGCTAGGGATATAGCTCAGTGGCACAGTGCCTGCCTGGCAAGTGCAAGGTCCAGAGTTGGATTCTTGGTATACACACACACACACACACACACAGGCACCAACAAAAGAAAAAAGAACATAGTCTTTTTCCTGTGTCTTGTTGTTCTTTACAGAGAATTCATAAAAGCTTAGCACCTGACCTCAGAAAGCTCTTGTGAGTTTATTTTCTAAGTTAATGGCTACTCCTGAATCCTCTTTCTTCCCTGAGCCTCTTTCCCTTGTGTTTTCTGCTCAGTCAGGATTCGAGGTCAGAGAGCGTAGATGAAGGGCTCCCTGTGTACCCACGGTGGTGCAGGAGGGAGTAATCCCACCAGGGGTTTCTTCGGTGTCACAACAGAACTCAAGAACGAATGCTGCAGCATTAGTCTGGGCAGAGGTATGTGACTGGTGGCATTGCAGCTCTCTGCCTGCTCCTTGAATGGGAACCGTAGCACTAAATGCTGTGTTCATTGTGTATTCAGATGGAATGGAAGGGAGGGAGGGCTCAAAGTTCCCCTCCTACCCATAGTCCTTGATGTAGCGGTGTCATGGTGTGCAGTTTCTAGTGCATCTACCAATCACGTGTCATGCACAGCAGAAGTTCTGATGGTGTTCTGACCATCTGTGTTAGTATCAGCCTTTGTGGAGAACCTCGTTCTGTAATCACTGTATACTGTTATTTTCAGTTTTTACAGTTTTGGTACCACATCCATTAGGTGGATTCTTGTATATAATTTAAGATTTTAATTTAGTTTATATTTAAAAGCTTAAGAACCAAACTCTCAGATTCAAACTCATTGTAAGATATGTACGTTTTATACGTGATAGTGCAAAAGGCAGCACCAGTGCATGCTGATGGCAGCGTGCAGCACTGCTGTGCACCCACCCTGGACTGTCGTTTGCATAACCACACATATTGATGTCTGTGAGACTTGTGGGAAATGGGACGTTGTTCACACTGTAGTTTGCACTTTGGAAAATTGACTGAGGGAGGGCTCTTTTCCATGCTCGACCATTTACACTTCTGTAGTCAGCCTTTTGCATCCTGCCCTGTGTCTCAGAGGCACAGACCTTTGCCTGCCTCCTGCTTCCTCCTTGCTGACTTTCCTGGACCTGCCCCTGGTGTGATTCTGTTCTCTGTTCTCTGTCGCTCTGTTCCTGGCTGAACTGTCCACTAGCCTAGGGCCAGCCAGGAACAACCGAAGCCTGCTCTCCAGCACCAAGCCCAGCTAGGAGGCCCCAGCCTTGGCCTGCTGCTGAGGAGCATGGGGGAGATGGGCCCACAGCTGGGCCTGGGCCTGGGGTCCTGTTCAGCATTCTCACGCCTCTCCCCAGGGCTCCTGTGCTTCTCTCACAGGCATCCCGGGACAATTGTGTCCAGGCCTGGGAGTCAGCATTTCTCCTCTGGGGTAAGAGTAGAAATAACTTCTCTTTTGAGACCCTGAGGCCCTTCTCGAGTAAGAGCAGACACTAGTGGGTGCTTCTTTAAAGAAGCATCTCATGCTTCTTCTACCAGAGACTCATGAAGTGTTTTTCAGAACAGAATAGAATGATAGAAACTCGAGAGGAAGGGGGGCTAAGAATCCAACAGTGGCCAGAGACTCTGTGCACATTCTGCACCAACACTGGAGCTGGGGCCTGGCTGTGTAGGGTGGGGGCCAGTGCCTCTTGTGTAGAGAGATCTGTGAGCAGCGTTTTGCATTCCAAATTTGCAGTTGCAAAATTGAAGGATACACAGTATGCCACACCCTGTGCCTTCCTCATCAGAAATAATAACGGAGGGACAGTGTACATTTGCTTGCAAACTTGTAAGAAAGTCACTGTCTGCTCCAGCTGATCCTGTGTCCTAGACATAGACCAGAGAGGGGAGGAGTCAGCAGCACCCTTGGAGAGTTAGTGCCAGAGAAGAAAACCTTGAACCTGCAAGGGCAAAAACACTCTTTGCTTCTACTTGTGAAGTTCTGACCGCACCATGCAGATGAACTGTGTCTCTGTACTTTTCCTTCCTGATTGCTGGCAGCTTTCCAGTGCTTTCCTTCTCCGGCACCTCCCTGCCACTCGTGCTCTTCCCGGAGTGCCCCTCTTTGTATTGCGTCCCCAGCTCAGCAACAGAAGAGAATCAGTGTCTGTACCAAATTCAGAGGCACCAGCCGACTCCGGCTTGCCTTCCAGACTTTCCCTGTGTAGGCTGCCGGTAGCTTTTGCTGGCCCCTGGTGCCTTCTGCTTCCTAGCATACCCTGAGGCTGAGCACCAGGTTCAGCTGTTGTGTGGAGCCATCTTGGACTAACATAGGCTGCACTCGTCTCATCCCTGGCCCAGTAGCACTCTTTGGGTGTATCCTTTGGGCACTTGGTTCTTTCTACATAATGGATAGTGACCTGTGAGCTCTTTGAGGCAAAATCACTAACTTTGATTCTGTGGTGTTATCTTTAGAAAAAAAGGACATAACTCTTGGGACTAGGTAAAGTGCTGTGAGACTATTCACGGTATGTCAGTGATGGCAAACCTTTTAGAGCTTTCTGTGATAACAAACAGTCAGCTGTTGCACACAGGCTGTACGTTTATCATCACTGGTGTGGCACCGAAAAGCAGGAGTTTAATGTCATGTACACATGAAATCCCCAGGGACAGAGGAGCGTAGGACCTGGTGGGGAGTTGCACGATGCAGACAGATTCAGAGAAGACAGGATAACACTAAGGCTGAGTCAGAAGTGTGGTGGGAATAAGCAAGAAGGCTCCCCTAGCAGGCAGGTCCCATGCACTGTGAGCATGGAAGAGCCCAAGAGAGACTGGATTTGGCAGCCCTGGCAGGTAAGGGAGAGTGGGGTCCATCTCAGCAGTATGAGAGGTGAATCTCTGTCCAGATGTGAGGAGGAAAAGCTAGAAGCTCCATACATGTGTCCAGGTGGGACTCTCAATTCACATTTGTATTGAAAACTTGCAAAATAGGGAGCTAGGGATTTAGCTCAGCGGCATAAGCACCTGCCTTGCAAGCAGGCAGTTGTGAGTTCGATCCCTGGTACTGATAAAAAGGAAAAAGACAAAAAAAAAAAAAAAAGAAAACTTGCAAAATAAAAGTGGAAGTTTCATAAATAGTTCTAGGGTTTTTCACAGACTCAGTATGATTCTTTTAACTGAGTGCTACCATTTGACACAAGAATAAGGTTATATTGTGACTGTTTTTAGAAAACAGATTGGTATGAGACCAAAGTATTTAGGTCTGACCTGGTGGCACTGCCATGCTAATGAGGGTGTCCATCCACATTCCAACTGGGCTAAACCTCCAGGGAGGTCAGGTGGTAGAGCCAGCTTGAAGGGGGAGGAGGGTGCCCTCTGTCAGTGACTCTGCAATGGCTGGAGGCTGGAATTGGGGAGGGAGTTCCCTGCAGTTGTTTCCCTAGGGCAGTCCTGCCCCCAAGGATGTTTGGTGATGTCTGGAGACATTTTTGGTAGACATACCTTGTGGTGGTGGTGGGTGCTATTGGCATCTAGTGGGTAGAGGCCAGGGTACAGCTAGACACCCTGCAATGCTTGGGGAGGATGCTTCCCCTCCCTCTCAGAGAATGGTCTGCCCCAGGTTTCAACAGTGTCCGTGGAAGAACCGACCTAGTGCATTAATTTGGTTTGTGTTGCCTCTCAGCCTCCCAGCTTGTTTGGCCCTTGTTTTAAATTCCTTGTATCCTTTCCCTTACTGTCAAAGGCAGTGCTACTCTCAGTGTGGTCTGCAGTCACCTTGGATCTTGTTTCACGGAGGAGCTTGGGCCTATGGAATTTATGTCTTGGAGACGGGGGACCCCAAGTCTGTGTTTAACAAGTACCTTCGGTGACTGTCACATCCTTTGAGGTCTGGGAGCCACTGTGTGTGGGCGGTGGCCTTGCTTGTTGTCACTAGCCATCTTAGGTGATCATCCCCAGGGTCAGTTTGCTCCGCTCATCCTAGCAGGCCAGCCTAAGGAGCAGCACAGCAGCCTCTGTTTCTGGTCATCCTGAAGAATTATAGGCGAGTTCTTTTTGGCAAAGGGACTGGGAGACTGAGAGTGTGACACCTTCACCCCGTGGTCAGCTGGTGGAAGAGGACTGCTTCTGAGGCTCTTCAGAATGGTTTGAGAACGCCTGGCCAGTGCCCCTTTGCCTGCTGGCCTGCTACAGGGTCTTGGAAGGACAGCCTTTCTGCAGAGCTGACCGACCTCTTGTTTGAGAGGGCCTCTGGAGGAAGGGTTAACGTCCTCCCGGTGAGAGCAGCCATCAGGTTTTGCTTCTAGAGGGGAAAAGAAAGCCAGCGCAGCTTATGAGCGAATGGTAGTGGTGCCTCCCCTCCCCCAGGAGGCCAGGAAGGGGGTAGCAGGAGGGGCGGCGTGATTGCATTCATGGAAATGAGCCTGCGAGGAGCAAGCCAGCGGCACCGACTGTCAGCCAGGCTGCGCTTCCAGCGCAGCGCCCCCATCCCCGGGCCAAGCCAGCATTCCCCACCAGGCGCAGCTTGCTCCCACCCGCCGCTGGGCTGCTTGGCTTTTGTCTCCTCTGGACGCCTCCTCCCCTGCCCTTCTGTGCTGGCACTCACATGCTGTCCTTGCTCCAGCTCTCCCTGCACCCAGGGTTGGGGGAGCTCCAGGGAGCCTGGGCCTGTGGGATCGCTGCACAGAGCCACTATGGCCTCTGATGCGGAGAGCCGTGACCAGCAGAGGCTTTGATGTTGCTGCCCAGGGCTTGCCGGGACACTGGGGCCACTGGAGAGGGGACGCGCCACGGGTAAGAGGCGGGGTGGGTGGCGTGGGCAACCAGGTCTGCAGCTCGCTCTATTATGCGTTGCTGCCAGCAGCAGGAGCTATGTGTGGGGCTGATCTTCTGCATGTCTGTCCTCTGGCTCCCAGACATTGGGATTGTTTCTTCTTGGACTTGTTTTAAATTTCTCATATCCTTAGATACGAGGATACGTAGACTTAGGAATAAGCTAATGATTATTTTCTGGGGTCTTCTGTGGTGAGGTTAGAAACAGAATGGCAGAAAACAGAGGAACACATTCAGGCTGAGCATCTCCCCTCCAGCCCTGCCCACCTGCTTAGGGGATTTTTACTGACTCATTCTGGGCTTCAGAGCCCTTCCTGGATGTGGGCAGCCCTGGTTCCAGTGATGCACATTGTGAGGAGTTGGAGTTCACCATCCAATGTGATCATAGGCGTCCTATCTAGCTGCAGCATGAGGAGGAATGTTTAAGTGTTACAGGAAGATTCAGGGTGGTTCAAGGAGCCAGCATACAAATAGATTTTAAAAATGAGGTGAAGTGCAAGAGCTGAACCTCTTTTGGGACTGAAGGGGTGTGATGACCCAGCTGTGAAGGCTGACAGTGGCTGCAGCTGGCAGCAGAGCTTCACCCAGGAGACACAGTCCCCTGCCCCCCTAAAGGAGAAGCAAGTGTGATAATTTGGGTCTCCAGTCGAGTGGGGAATTCCTAGACCTCACTGAGAGCCGAGGCCACACTGCCTGTCTGCTTGGCTCAGGAGGCTGGTGCAGAAGAAGGCATTCAGTGACTGTGACCCAGCCCTGCCTTCAGCCCCTGGGTCCTCTGGAAAACAGCAAATGTGACAGGCTCACTGCCTGGGGCTGGAGGAAAGCTGCTGGGAATCCCAGCTTCGAAGTTTTAGAAAAAGAAAAGGTCCCTACAGTGGTTAACATTTAGCTGTTATTGAAAGCAGATGTTAACTTTGTTTTTGTAACATTTTCAGGATAAAATTTTATGACTTATTTGTTACTACCTTGAAATTTGATCTCATTTCCCTCTGTTGGTTGAATCATAATGTGCAAACTCTAGGATTTATGAGATACAATGTGTGGATTCTCTGTAAGATAAATATCTTCACTTTAAAAGACAGTTTATGGAGCTTTTTAATACACATTTCTGTACTAAGGGTTAGAATAGTGGCGTCCCCACCATGCATGAGGAAAGCGATGTGAGGAGAGGTATGGTTTGACCAGAGTCACAGAGAAGTCAGTGAAACTGCAAGTATTATTTGAACTCTTCCCTGTCTCAGCTCTGGCCAGTGTCCTCTGAGAACTCAGAGGCCTGCTTGTCATGGTACTAAGTAGGGAACAGTCTTTAAAAGTGAAAACAAAAATGAAGTCTTCCTTATAAATGCAGAATGTTAGCCAGGCATGGTGTGGGGTGTGGTGTCACATGTCTGTCATCCCAGCACTCTGGGCAGCTGAGGTGGGAGGATCACAGAGTTTGAGCACAGCCAGAACAAATTAGTGAGATCCTGTCCCAAAATAAAAAGAGCTGGGGATGTAGCCGAATGAGAAGGCCTGGGTTCAATTCCAAGCACCACACACACGCAGAAGGTGGCATGAAATTTTGATGGACTTCTAGGCAGGAGATTGAGAAGTTTTTGCCTGAAAAAAATTAAGCTAGAATTGTGTAAATACCTATATTGGCAGTTTACTAGAAGATACCTCTGCCTCCCAGTGTTGGCTAGCTATGCACTAATACAACTCTTGGTTTGGGAGTATCTGTAAATTACTTTAAAACTCCGTTAGGCTACAAGTTGGTGGTAAGATTCTTGAAGCGCTCCTCACAGAAGTGAAATCAAAGAGACTAAAGTTAGCAGAATTAGGAAGTTAAAACATGCTGTTAGGTTACTGTTTATTTTTAATTGTAAAATACATATAGAACATAAAATAAAACACTTCAATTATAAGTACACAGTTCAGTAGTTTTCAGTATATTCACATGGTTTTGTAGCCACCTCCAGAACTGTTTCACCTGGCCAAACAGAGCTCTGTCCCCATTAGGCCTTACCTCCTCACCACTGGGCAGCCCCAACTCTGCTTTCTATCTTTGTTAGTGTCCCTCGTTCCTGAGGTCCTGTGGCTGGAACTCAGGGCTTTATGCATGCTAGGCAAGGGCTCTACCACCAGGCCACATCCCGCCCTAACTTCTGTCTTTGTGGACAGCATTTGCCCATTTGCTTATTTGGTTTTGTTGTTCGTCAAGGCTGTCTTGCCTTGTAGATCAGGCTGGCCTGGAGCTTACCAGGTAACCCAGACCGGCCTTGAGCTTGTGGCCGTCCTGCCTCAGCCTCATAAGTGCTGAGATTGTAAACATGCACCGCCATACCTACCCAGTATTTGCCCATTTGTGGATGGCTGTTTCACTGAGGTCACTTCAGGGCTCATCCATGTTGTAACATGTGTCAGGATTCCTGTTTTTCAAAAGGAAGCCCCAGTGGTGTAGTGTTAAATTCAGAAAGGAGGCTAAGGTTCTAACTTAGTGAGGAAGGAAATGTGATTGGTCCCTCAGGGTTGACAGGCTTTCTATAAAGGTGTGATGTGGACTGCTCAGTGTCTTACTGAGTCTCTAACTTTGATCATGCACCCTCTCTTGCCTAGTGATCCTGATTAGTATCCTGAGAACTCTTGAGTTTGTGACTCAGTGAAATTCTGAATGGTTACAGTTTTTGTTTTACCTCTGTCTGCTGCTACCTTTTACTTAAAAGTTTTGGTTGCACCCTTATCCCTGTCTTAAAGACCTGATGCTGTGCGCACATTTGTCACATTGGTGTGGAAGTGAGTTTTGGAAAAGCTGAAAGTTGCTCTTCTCAGTGAGGAAAACACATTCTCGCAAACCAGCCCGCTGCCCGTTGCAGAAGTGACCCATGATTCTTTTGGGTCTGCAGCTGCTTTTATCCAGTGTCTCACCATCTTGTAGTCCCAAGGGGACCTCATAGTGTGTTCCTCTTCTCCTGCAGTCTCTGATGTACCAGGAGTCATTTCATGAAGGTGCTCTGGGTTGCCTTGTGATGTGAAAGCCATATAAAGGTTAGGCAGGTCTGAAGAGCCACTTTTGGAAGCAACTCTTGGTCTTACTGTTAACCTTGAGGGACACAGCTGCGGTAGCTAGCCCAGGCTCACATGGCTGGTGAGTACAGGGCTGGGCTCTGGACCTAAGGCAGTCTGTGGTGCCACTGGTTGGGTGGGGTACTCAAGGCGTGGCCTCCTTAACAGCCCTTTTGAAATGCCCCATGCAACTGTGGGTATTTCCTGGGGCTGTGGTTCCTGCAGGAAGAGCTGGGTCTGCTATAGACCTGTGTGAGTCAGCGGCACAGTGAGCAGCAGTGGTCTAGGAGGAAGACACTGGAGAAGAGTGCAAGCTGGATCTGCATACGAGGCTCTCATAGGCACCTCCTTGGGCCTGCTGTGGCTGCTTTTTCGTTCAGCCCACACCTGGCCCTCGCAGCAGTGGAGACCCGTAGTTCCAAGGCCCAGTTGCCAAACATTGGCATAGATCCAAAAGCCTGAGTTCTTTCTGTACTTTGAAGTGTTTCTTCAGATTTCAGATCACTGAGATTTACCAGAAGATAGTGATTCGGGCCTCTAGAGGTAAACAGGCTATGGCCTGCTTTTGAGGTCCATTAGCAGGGTCCAGTTGGGAGGGTGGCTGGTTGGTGCCCAGTGCTGCCCCCACCTATCAGCCTTTGGAGTTCCTGCTCCTGGAAGGCCTGGGGTGGTGCACTGGGTCGCCCAGAGCAGTACGTGTTCTTCACCGGGCAGTTTCCTGTGTTCCATTTGGGACCACAGAAGTGGAGTGTGTGAATAATGACTTGAACCCTCAGAGCAGGTGTCAGTGCTGGGGAGGGTGAGGGAACCGTGCTTTCCTTCCCCACCCACGACTGCTGCTCTTCTAAGGAGGGATTGGGTTAAAGTGTGTGTGTGTGTGTGTGTGTGTGTGTGTGTGTGTGTATGTGTGTGTGTGTGTAAGAGAGAGAGGTTGATTGATTGATTGATTGATTCAGTGTCCAGCACACGAAGGAGAGGCTGGGCCTCACTCCTTACCCTAAGGGCTAGATTTGAAAGGAGGCCGAGCTGTCTCTCTGGTCTGAGCAGAACACTGGTGAGGGCAGTTTGATCTTTTGTGTATTTATCTTCTCTGCTATCAAGAGAAGTGGGCCTTTCAGGTGGACCTCACTTCTCAGTTATTTTTCTGAATGTTTTGTGCTAATTTAAATGTGACCCCTTTTATCCTGCTGAGAAATGGGCATGAAAGTAAGCTGGTTAATTATTTTGGTGGAAAAAATAAGGCAGGCACAAGTCCCTACAGATAGCAGGATGATTTCAGAGAGTGAGGTCCCCGTCCCAGCGCATGCCTAGGCCTCTCTGATTTCTCAGCATCCATGGGGGTTTGGGTAACACCTGCTGTGTCCACTGCACAGAACCTGCTGTCACAGGAGCTGCTTCTTCAGCAGGCCTCAATGGTGCTGTGGCAGGAGACCAGGGATCGCAGGGCTTGAGAGTAGCAGCAGCTTTCCTGGGCCCGCATACCTTCTGGTCTTGGAAAGAGTGCCCTGTGCCTTTAAGACAGTCCTCCTTTGTATGCACACCGTTTCAGCTCTGCTTTCAGTGACTGTTAAAATCTGCAGAGCAGCATTTAAGTAAATAAATAAATAAGTAAAGCTTCCCTTGTGTGGCTTTTCTGTTCACAGTGAGCACAATGGCCCCTTGTTGTTTTTGTCACTTGGAAAGGCAGGGTGAGGGGCCTGATGCTGGAGGGCCATCTGGCTGCAGCCAACACCTTGCAGATTAACCTTTGGGGGCTTAGATTCCCTGGCCCTCAGAGGTCCCTGGGCAGAGGGGCAGGTGGTGAGGTACAGAACAGCTCCTTCTCTAGTCCCTTGCCATTGTCCGCCGGTGGTGGGGACAGCCTGCTGCCCTCCCCACCATCCATTCTTCTAGAGAAAGGGTTTGGTCCCCTCTCTGGCACAGATGTGTGGCCGCAGCACGTGGCAGGCTGGCAGGGAGCAGTTGTTTGTCACTTTGCCATCTGGCCTGTCCTAGCCCAGGGGCTCTTGCTCTGCCCTTCTGGATCCTGTGCAGAGTAGATGTGGTTGCTGAAGGCCTCTCTCACCTGCTGCCTCCAGCATCTGGGTGGCAGCCAAAGTCCCAGGCACCAGCCCCTCCTCCATACCCCAGCAACAGCGCTTGCTAACCCTTGGTTCTGTCAAATGAAACCACGCCTTTTGTCATGGGGATTTCTTTTTCTCGTGGGTGGCTTGAGATCGAAGGCTTGAATTAAAAGATTTGAGCTGGGGAGGCTGGGGATTTAGCTTAACGGCATAAGCGCCTTCCTTGCAAGCGCACAGTTGTGAGTTCAATCTCTGGTACCGATAAAGAAAAAAAAAGATTTGAGCTGGGCACTAGGGCTGACACATCTTTCCAGTACTCGGGAGGCTGAGGCAGGAGGATTGTTGTGAGTTGAGGCCAGACTGGGCTGTAGAGTGAGTTCAAGGCTGGTCTGAACTACATCACAAGATCCTCAAAAAAACCCAAAATTGATGTTGCATTGATTTATTGAATCAGAAGAGAAGCAGCATTATAACTTAATGTTACTTAAGTATAAGGTGAAGAAGTAATCACATGATTAATGTCAGGCACCTGTATCAAAATAAACAAGAATAAATACCTTGCTTATTCTAGCTGCAAATTGACTAGAAGCCTTTTCTGTCTGATACAAGGACACAGAAGCCTGTCTTTGCTGGTAGCTATAGATTAACTTTGTGTCTTTCACTTTGAAACCAGTAGTGTGTGTGTGTGTCCAGGGACTCAGATGTCCTCTTTCTCCATTCCCGGACCTGTTCCTGGAACCGGTGCTCTCAAGGGGCTCTTTCTGGTGTTAGGTGTGGTAGGTTCTGCTGAGTCTTATATCACTGATCATTTTGTCAGAATTAAAGATTATCTCCTGCCTTGTTCTGACTGTGGACAAGTACAACTCGCATCCTTTCGCTGCTTCCTTTTGGTGCTTTATCACATTTCGGTTCATCTGTTTTCCCCTCTGGAATTTCAGTGAGTGTTGTTCCAGCCTGGATTCTTCTCCAGGGTCTGTACCCACCCTCCTACCTGTGGGTGCCCTGTTCCTTACTGAGGAGGATCTGAGGCACTTTATTACTCCCCAGTTGTCAGAGAATTTGGGTACCCTTGATCACCCACAACCCAAAAATATTAAATAAAGTTGCAGAAATAAGCAGTTTATAAACTGTAAATTTTAGGTTGCATGCCCTCGGAGTAGTGTGATGATATCTTGCATCACACTGTTCCATCCTTCTGTTCATGAAATACTGTGAAACTGTGAAGGAGGGAAAGAAACACGTGCAGGCACCACCGTACCTCAAACTGTACGAGATCTGGGCACAGCGCGAGGTAGTGTACTTCAGATGGGGAAGGCACCAGTACGTGCATGTGTTCCAGGAAAGACAGCCAACACAGGCTCCGGCACTGTCATGGCTTCAGGCCACCGGGGGACTTGAAATGGGAAAGGGGTGTGTGTGTACTGTTTGTTTTGTCTTTACCCTGGAAAGTCAGTGATGCATGTCCCCTTTGCTGCCGATGAAATGTGGCCCAGGTTGGTTAAGTCACTTCTCTGAAGGGGCTAATGTAGTCTGTGGTAGATTGGAATAAGGTTTACACCTGGTTTGCCTAGTTCTGGTGTTCTGGTGCTTGTTTTTCCATTCAGCCACCTAGTTCCCAGCACACCCAGGAGCTGGTTTTGCAGGGCCTCCTGGCTCCCCCCTTTCAAAGGAATGTGAAGACTTATTTGTGTGTATGTTTCATAGTAGGAACCGTGATCTGGGAATTTAGGTAGCTGTGCTCTGATGATGAGAACACTTCTTAAAACATCATTCAAACCGTGTAGAAGGATGTGAAGCAGAAAGAGAAGAGTTCTCTCTAGAGTTAAGGGCTGTTCTATTGTATATGCGTCTCCTAGTCCCTATCCCTCCCTGGAATGGCATGGAGCCATTCATGTGCTTTGCAGCTGCCTCCAAAACCCATTTCTCCATACTGCAGTTCAACACAGGGTCATAACATTCCAGTTTTTTGTTGTTTGTTTTGTTTTTTGGTATTAGGGGTTAAGCCTGGAGCTTTTGCGGTGACCTACCTCCCCAGTCTTTTTTATTTTTTGTTTCAAGACAGGGTCTTGCTAAGCCACTAAACTGTTTAGGTGGGACCCAAACTTGCAGCGATCCTGCTTTGGCTGCCCAGAGTTCCAGGATTACCAGCGCGTGCCGCCTCACCGCTCTGCATTCGTCTGTAGCCATGACGCAGCTAAGATTGGATCAGCAGCAGCCTGAAGTCTCCCAGCCATGCACCAGCCTGACCACTGCAGCCTAACTTAACCCCAGCCATCATCTTCTCCTGTTCTTTCCCAGCATTCCTCTCTCAGAACTCTGCTGTGTAACTCGGGTCCCTTCTTGTCCTGAGCAAACCTGCTGTAAACTGTGGCCAGCTGATTCCTAGCAGGAGGTCGTTTCTCAGCAGGCTTCTATATTCCTTCCTGAGACCTGTGTCCCTTTGCACTCTTGGATTTGCCTTTATTTTTGGTGAGATGAAGGTAGTAACATTTGCCTCTCTTTGCAGTTCCTAGTGACCTCACTGCAGAAGAGCGTCAAGAGCTGGAGAATATCCGGCGAAGGAAGCAGGAGCTGCTGGCCGACATTCAGGTGGGAGGACGTGGGGAGGCTGGCTGGAGTAGAAGCAACTGTGCCACACTGTATGTCTGACCCTAGTGTCTTCAAGAGGCATCTTGGACCTGCACTCACCTTTACTGGTCTATAGGCAGAAAAGCAGGGTCTCAAAGAGTTTTAAGTCGTTTGTGAGGTCTGTGCTATTGCAGGTTGTCAGAGCTTGAGGGGCCCTGAGCAAAGTCCTCTCTGCTGTTTCTAGGCTCCCTAGACCCTGTGCGGGTCCTGCCTCTGCCACTTTCCTGCAAGGTAATTAGAAAGCAGCATTTTGGTTCTGTGGGCTTCAGTTTCTTCCATATAGGGTAAGAATGAAAACACCCTCACAGGTTGATATGTGTATTGAATGAGCTGATATTTATGAAGACTTGGTATAGTTTCTGGCTCCAAGAGATACTTTGTCAATTTTATTTTGTAATTTTATTGTTTCTCCAAGTTAGGTTTCATACTGCCAAGCTGTATAGGAAATAAGACTCAGAAGCCACAGAAGCCACATATTAAGTTATTTTAACCCTGAGGCAGTAAATGTTACTCTTCTAGAATTCTTTGTAAAACTCCAGGAGAGAGGAGGGCCTGCAGTAATGAGCTGCTCAGCATGAGAGAAAAGACAGGACCGGAGTGCTGGTCTAAGAGCAGTATGACACTTTGTCTGATCCTTTGGTTCCTAGTTCATTGGTAAATGCTGGAAAGTGGCGCAAGTCTCACTCAGCCCCCTTCACTATGACAGTCCCTCATTTCAAGGCTGGCTGAAGGGCAAAGGCAGGTGGCAGCTGACCGAGGATTGGGTCAGATGTTCCTTTGCCACTCGCGCCTCAGTGGGGAGGAGAGTGTCCCTCCTGGCCTCTGTTCCGCTTGTGTTTGGTGAGCCATAGCTATGTTAGGAAAGACACTGGGTTGAGGGAGCCATTCCTTAGCAAAGGTGCAATTGTATATGGTGTGTAGACATGGTGCGTAGACTCCTTTTCTATGCTAGGTACCCAGAGGCCGGGAGCTGCCTTTTCCCCCAGTATCCCTTCAGGACTTACTCTGTTCTAGGAATGCAGTCAGTATCTTGAATACATGAATTTTCCCAGTCTTTGGATTTCTTTTGGTTGCCTAGTTTTGTTTCTCTGTGCTTTTGCTTTATGTTGTCTCTGCTGGAGGCAGGGTTACATGGGGCTTTGGAAGTGTCCCATGGTCTGTGTCTCCCCTCTGGGTAACTTTGGACCATATCCTTGCAGAGACTGAAGGACGAGATCGCAGAGGTCGCTAATGAAATTGAAAGCCTTGGCTCCACAGAGGAAAGGTGAGTCTGCCCTGCGGCGGGGCCTTGTGGTGTGAGACTCCTGGGGTGCCCGGCCTTTCCTTGCACAGACTGTCCCCATGGGGAAAGTGGGCTCTCCTTCGTAAGGAGGGGGCATGTAGGTGCTTTTCACACTTGAAGATTGGAACTAGAAAATTTCAGAGGTCCCAGAAAGCCTTAAAGTGTGCTGCAGTTTCTGTGCGAAATACTGTTTGTTGTCTGCTCTATTTGAATTACAGAGTTTCTGTTTCTTTCTTCATGTAAGGGAAAAGCTTAATGAACCCTGCTAATTAGATTTCTGAAGGCTGGTGTGCCCAGTTATGTGGGTACATTTTTTAGCTTATTCACACATTCCATCCCTACTACTAAAGGGAAGATAGTGTAGAAGTTAAATTATAGGGGCTGGGGATTTAGCTCAGCGGCATAAGCGCCTGCCTTGCAAGCGTGCTGTGAGTTCGATCCCTGGTACCAATAAAAAAAATTATAGTGTAAGATGATGAGAACTTAATGGGGTTCCTAGACCGTTTGTGAAGTGCCTAATGTAAGTGGACTGTTTGCAGTGCGTTCCATGTCTGTGTTGTGCTAAGCTCAAGTCTTCTGTCTTGTTCTTTGATTTGTTGTTCCAAGCTCCGGTGGGTAGTACCATAGGGACAAATGAGGCTGTGTGTTTCAGGTCACTGCTTCTAGTCTCTGAACTGTCGTCTTGGACTTTGGGGTTGCAGCTTTCCTATTTTCATTTAAAAACCATAGTGTACAAGAAATGGATAAATTAGTTCCTCCAAGTTTAAAACTTCTGTCTTTATAAAGGATAACTAGTGAAAAGGAAATGAATAGGCAAACCACAGTAGGAGAAAATACCTGTGATACGTATATCCAAGAAAGGACCCATATTCAGAATGCATGTAAGAAATACATGTAATTCAGTAATTAAAAAAGACTGCCCATTCTCTACCAGCCTGGGCTACAAAGTCAGTTCACGGCTAGCCAAAACTGCGAAGCAAGACCTTGTCTCAAGAAGACCAAGAACAAAACAAAGCAGAAGACTGCCCAAATAGAAGGTGGACAGGCACATTGCCCAGAAAACCATGTGTACAATAGACATAAGAAAAGTGGTCATCGTGGTGAGGTGTAAAGGAGTGTGACATAAACCTGCCTGGACGTGTGGCTTTACACCCACTAGCATGGCTGAGATTGCTGGTAGCTGGTGTTGGTGAGCCCAAACCAGAATAAGAGTATAACCACTCGGGAAAACAGTGTACCGGTTTGTGTGATGTGAAGCATAAATGCTGGCCAATTCCTACCAGTTCAACTCCTACGTATTTATCCAGAGAGATGAATACACGTTTCCAGGAAGACTCATACAAGAGTACAGCATTCTCAGGTTGAAACAGCCCAGAACTAGAAAAAGCCTGACTGCTGACCAGCAGGTGAGTGACGGCCAGGACCAGGAACAGGAACAGAGGGCAGGGGCTGCTTGCCTGCAGCAGTGTGGATGGATTTCGTCTCATGAGCATCGCATTGGCTCAGAGACGCCCTCAGGGGACCACACGTGCAGTTCATGGGGTCCTGAGATGGAAGAAACCCAGCAGGGGGAGATGGCAGCAGTGGCTGCCTCCTCATGGCAGGGGGAGGGCAGGCCAGAAGGGGGCATGAGGGACCCAAGGAAAGATGAGGCAGGTTTGTTGGAGCAGTAGTCACGAGGGCATTGGTCAAAACCATGGAATGCACACTTAAGATGTGTACATTGTGTTGAATATTAAGTATACCTGAATTTTTAGAAGAAACTTTTCAGATTTTAAAGGTAATACACGTTTATTGCAGAAAGATGGTAAAATAAAAAGCATGAAGAAAACACATTTCCCATAATCAGTTATCCAGACAGGTTTTGGCATATTCTTTGTATGTTTTAGTGTACATACACATGCAGGATTTAGGGTACCCATTTGCTTGTTTAACGTCTGGGGGCATCATAGAGCACCCAGAAAATGAAAATGTCGGAACTATGGGCTAGTACAGTGAGCTAGCTAGCAAGTTTATCAAAACTGGGTCTCTCATCAGCTGCATCTGAAGGTGTAAGTCAGGCAGCTATAATTTGATGATTTGTGTTTTTAAACTTAAAATAGTTGTCTAATATTGAAAGTCCTGAATGGGTGTGGTTCTGCAGATCCCAGCATGTCCAGACAGGGAGGACTTGTTAGATAGGACCCACGGCCATTCTGATTTTTCCACAGGGCCGCTGTCTGATGGCCTGATGCCTAATGCCACCATTTTGTATAAGTGACCCTAAATACTATTTAATCAAATGGAAATGATGTGCTTATACCACGAGATTCAAAGCTTTGTAAATTTCAGAGGAAACTGGTAGAAGTGGTCAGCCATCTCTGGGCATGTCCAGGCAAGCACGAGAGTGAGCAATGACTGTAGCTGGCAGACAGGCAGGCTTGTCTGTTGTGCTTTCTAAGTCCCAGGAGGGTTTCAGTTAGGGACCACACTGAGGCCTGGACGCTGTGGATCACTGCTGATTAGGGACCCTCCTCTGTGGGGCCCATGAGGTTGCCCCACACTGTTACAGGAAGTCCCGAAGCAGGCTTTCCCTTGTGGTATTTGTTTGGAAATACAAACCAAAGTAAGCTTCCTGGATTTAGAAAAAAAAGATTAGCCAACCGCTTAGATTCAGTAAGAATTGCTAGACATCTGGTGTCAGCCATTTGTTCTAGCTGAAGTGAAACTTGATGTTCCCTTCATGTTCTCTGTCACCTGGTGTCTTAGTGTCCTGGTGTCCTCAGTTTTCCCATGCTCCTTTCAAAACCCTCAAACAGGAGCCCCTCATGGATTCAGCCAGTGAGCTTAGCCAGTGCAGACATGTTCCTCAAGGCGGTAGCATTCTGTGCTTTATTTCTGAGCAATGTTTTGTTCTCTGAAGCTATAAAATTACTGTTGTCGTTGATGGCAGACGTTGCCAAATTAGGGTACAAACCAGAATTATTGGAGGAAATCTTAAAAATTCTAATTGCTAGGCTCTGCTTCTGGAATATCTGAGTAACTGAGCGGCTCAGGATCTGCTGCTAGAGTCCACATGTGGGGTTGTGTAAAACTCAGGATCCTTCACAGATGGCCTTGAGCGGGCCCCCGGATGGTGCATGTGTGGAGACCTGAGATTCTTCAGAGACTCCGGGGGTGTGGGTCATACTTTGAGAAGCGTGGTCAGTGAATTTGCATTTTTCATCCTGATGCTGCTCATTTGAGAGGTTTTTTTGAAAAGTAAATATAATATAAATGTACTATATGGCCCAGCAGTGCCTACCCTAGGTGTCTGTCTGAGCAGGATGAAAACACACACCCACGTCAGGAGGTGTCCACATGCTGATGGCAGTCTTATGCATAATGGCTGCAGACTTCAGATGGTTTCTTATCTTCTGGTACGTGGGTGGAAGAGCAGGGTTACTCAGCACAGAAGGACACGTGTACTGATGACTCTCAGAGCATGGGGGAGACTTGAACACGTTACACTAGGTGAGAGGAAAAAGTTGCAAAAGTTCCCTTACTGTGTGGTGCTGTTCCTATGAAATGTCCAGAACAAGCACGTGTGTGGTGGCAGAAAGCAGGTTGGTAGTTGCCTGGGGGCAAAGTTAATCCTGCCTCAAAGGATTAATTGAAAGTGAGTGTGAGGAATTTCACTGGATTGCTGAGAAAGCTCTAAAACCAGATTATGATGATGCTAGCACAATTTAGCAACTGTATACTTAACATGGCATGTTACAGTGATAGGTGAATTATAACTGGGTAACATTTTTGAAAAATCGGATTAGAAAAGCAGATGAGCCCAGAGCAAAGTGAAGGTTTCAGGGTTTCTTGGGCCAAATCATGCACAGTACTTTCCTAGACCACTCTTACAAAACCTTGTGTGTAGCCCTGACTCCATGTGGGGTCTACACAGCCTCTCAGAACTTCCCCTGCCAGAGCAGTAATGGCGCTGGTGGTTGTCTTCCAGGAAAAACATGCAGAGGAACAAACAGGTAGCCATGGGCAGGAAGAAATTTAACATGGACCCTAAAAAGGTAAGCAGAAGGAACTGGCAGGGGCCCATAGGTTTTAAGATGGGGTTTTCTGGTGGACAGATGGAACCCAGAAGTATTTCTCCCAAGCTGCCTTTTGTCACTTGGCACAGCCCAGGGGCCCTGGCTTCAGGCCATGAGGCCTGTTCATATATCCATTGGTGCCTATTTATCAGATACTTCCTCTGTGTCCAGGATCCATGTTGTTGCTGCCTGCCCCGCTCCTTCCTCGTTCCGGCTGCTGCAGGCAGACATGACTGGATTTTTGTGGTCTTTCTCTAGGGTATCCAGTTCCTAATAGAGAATGACCTGCTGAAGAACACCTGTGAAGACATCGCCCAGTTCCTCTACAAGGGGGAGGGGCTCAACAAAACGGCCATCGGCGACTACCTAGGGGAGAGGTGAGGCCTTGATGCTCAAGCTCCTGCATACCCGGAGCCCTAGGGCACATTGCTGTCCATGCTGGCCCTGAGGGACCGCGTTGGAAGTGGGGGCACCTTTTGTGTTCACCCAGTAAACACTGTGAGTTGGACACCCTCCTGACTGCGTGGCTGTGCCCAGAGGCCATGTGATGCTGGGACTCAGTTTGGGCACCCTACCTGAAGGAGGCGGGTCCTCAGCATCAGTGTCTGATTTCTGCCTCCTTCTGTCTCCTTCTGCTCCTAATAGAGATGAGTTTAACATCCAGGTCCTGCACGCCTTTGTGGAGCTGCACGAGTTCACAGACCTGAACCTCGTCCAGGCTTTGCGGTAGGTGTTCCCAGGGGCTCTCTAGAGAGGCGGTCCTGTGACCCTGGGTTCATCTGTGGGCTGCTGGACTGAAGTTGCATCTTGGGGGGCAATTGTAGCTATCTAAGGATATGCTGAAGGGAGGCAGTCTCAGCCTCTAAGTGGAAGGCAGCTCAGGGACTGGACGGGACTACACTCTGCAGGGGGACGCTATGCAGCCTTCCTCAGCTTACACCTACCTGCACTGTGGACTTAGGAAACTAGTGAAAAAACTTGAATTTTTTACTGAATCTTTATTGGTGCCTTATGAGAAGCGGTCCTGTGTTTTCACTGCTGCAAGCGTGAACAACAGGGTTACCTTTGGTGCTGTCATTTAGGTAGATGAAGAGAAAGCAGGATTAGACCTGCTGGCCATGGGTCTCCTCTGACGTGGGGGGGGGGGGGGAGTGATTGTGACTGCCTTACCTGCCACTCTGTGTGTTGTGTGGGTGTAAAAGGAGCATTTTTCTACATTTCAATTTTGTTGTCTTAGAGAGAACTGTAGTGTGAAGTCAAAAGATACTAATTTCCCACTTGTTGCAAGCACTTTCCCTTCAGTTAGAGTAACAGTAGTGTGGACTGTTGCTGTTCATCTGCTCAGCCTTGCTGTGACAGAAGACATCCCGGACCCTCTGACGCTGCAAATTACCCATGGCTCAGCAGTCACAGATAAACTGTCCTCTCCCCCAGGCAGTTCCTGTGGAGCTTCCGGCTCCCTGGGGAGGCACAGAAGATTGACAGGATGATGGAGGCCTTCGCCCAGCGTTACTGCCAGTGCAACAGTGGGGTCTTCCAGTCCACGGGTGAGCGAGGCAGCCCTCTGGGTCTGGCAATTTTCCCACTGGGTTCTTTCTGTGACATTGGAGAATTTCTAAAGTAAAGGGCTGAAGTTCATGGCATGTGTATATCATGTACTTACGATAGTAAAAGGTTAGAAGCAACCCTAAGCCCAACATTCAGGTACTAGGGATATATATATAAGGGTTCTTCTGAACCAGGATATACATAATGATCAAAAATCACGTGTTCAGGGGCTGGGAATTTAGCTCAGCGGCATAAGCGCCTGCCTTACAAGCAGGCAGTCATGAGTTTGATCCCTGGTACAGATAAAAATGAAAAAGACAAAAAAAAAAAAAAATCACATGTTCAGAAGCTGTGCATGGGGGCATATATGCCTGTAACTGCAGATACATAGGTGAGGCAGGAGGCTCAAGATCAACCTGGCCAACATAATAAGACCAATTTTTTTTTTTTTTTTAATAAGACCAATTTTTAAAAACACGATATTTTAGGCTGGGCATGGTGGTGCACACTTGTAATCCCAGCTCAGTAGGCTGAGGCAGGAGGATTACTGCAAGTTTGAGGCCAGCCTGAACTGTTTGGTGAGACTTAAACCACCCCAAATTATATAGAATTTGTACTGGGATGAGAAAATGGCAAGATTAGCAAATGTGTGTGTGTGTGTGTGCGCGCGCATGCATGCGCGCAGATATTCCTTGTTTACTGACCTACTTGTTTAACAGCTTTTTGAATTTGTAACCAAGGTATGCTGTTTGGATTAACAATGCATCTTTTTTTTTTTGGTACAGTTTTGTGCATCTTATTTATAGAGCTTCAATGTCTTTCTTTTGTACAGTGCACCTTATTTATATAGGACTGCAATTTTGCTGATTATACTGTACCCTAGTATAGTTTTATGTTCTCATACAATTTACAGTGCTGCAATAAGAGTTACGCAGATAAAAGCAAAATCATCAGTGGAGTTTCTTTTGACCATTGTTTTGTTGGGTATATTGTAATGTACAGACTGTATGCATTTTTTCATTTAGCAACCAATTCACTTAACAAGCTTGTATCAGGAGCTAAACTTGGTCATTAAATGAGAGGTGTCTGGATCTATCTCTGTATATATCAATATCTGTTTGATCCAAATTATGTATCTCTGAGGTAACACTTGTGACATAAAGGTAGTTTATATAAAGGAAGTGAGGCAGAGTACCTTATTACAAAGCAGAGATGTCATAGGTAGTTTTTTAGCCAATGTGTTGTGTGTCACACTTCCTGCCATGTCCTGTTGTTTGGCTCATGTACTTCCACACGCACTTGGTTTTCAGCTAGCACACACCTGGCCACACGTGTGCCCGTGCAGTCTGTCCCGTCCTTCTGGGACCTGGCTTTCTGTGACACCATGGGGCACTCCCAACCCTCTGGAGAGGTCTCTAACCACCCTCTGCCTTCCTCCCCCTGTCTCAGACACCTGCTACGTCCTCTCCTTTGCCATCATCATGCTCAACACCAGCCTGCACAACCCCAACGTCAAAGATAAGCCCACTGTGGAGCGGTTCATCGCCATGAATCGCGGTATCAACGATGGCGGTGACCTTCCTGAGGAGCTGCTCCGGGTAAGCGGAATTCTTCCTTTGGGGGAAGAATTCACTTGGATTCTTTTATTTTTTTGGTGCCAGGAATCAAACTCAAGACTCTGGGCTTGCCAGGCAGGTACTGTGCCGCTGAGTTGTATCCCCAGCCCAAGAATTCGCTTGGAACAATATTGTTTTGTAGGAAAGGAGAAAGGTGTTGAGTGCCTCCTCTCTTAACTCATTTAATTACGTGAGTTTCACTAAGCTGGCAGTGAGGCCCAGCAAGAACAGGAGAGGTCATTTGTAAACCGTAAACTAAAGGCTTGAGCAGAAGTCAAACTGCTTTCTTTTCCTTCTTAATTATCCAGTATGCGTCTTACCGACTTTGTCCCTGGGAACATCCAGAAGGCAGAAATGGTCATTTTCTTCCTCTAGTCTTGAGCCCTGTGGGCATGTGGTTAACTGTGGGGGCAGAGTGAGTGCACATCCCTGCAGTCAGTGGAGAGAGAGGGAGGAGAAAAGTTACTTCTAGAATCAGAGCCATGCAGTGTTATCTTTCATCTCAGAATCTGTATGAGAGCATAAAAAATGAACCCTTTAAGATCCCAGAAGACGATGGAAATGATCTCACTCACACTTTCTTCAATCCCGACCGAGAAGGCTGGCTGCTAAAACTGGGTAAGTCATGTCCTGGGTTGGAGCACATACAGCCAAACGCAGGAAAGAAGGTTGTGTGGGTACATACCCATGGGGCGCAGAAGGGCTGGGGTGACGGGCCCTGCAGAAGAGACTGTTCCAAAAAGGCCCGCTTCTACAGGGAGTGATTTGCATAGCCAGTGCCTCACAGGACAGAGACCAGTGGGGCCAGACTGCCCCCATGAACACTGCCCCGTGTGTCTGGGCCCTGTGTGTCTGTTCTTGAACCCATGGCCAGGTTCTTTCCGGTGGGTCTCCCAAGGACCCAGTCTGGTGCCCTGGCGTCCCGCCTTGATTCTGGGAGGGTGGCTAGCTGTGTCCGTATTCCTTCTTCCCACCCCGGAATCACACCCGGCACCCCCGCCCCACTCCGTACATCATCGCCTCCTTCTGCATCTGGCTCCCACAGGCAGTCTGCATGGCAAACCTAGAGCCCTTGGCTGCAGCTCAACCCACAGCACTCTTCCTCATTCTCCGGGCAGTGGTCCCCGCCCTTTCCGTCCAGATCAGCCCCCTGAATGATTTTGTTTATTCAGAAAAGCTGAGAATGTATTCCTTTTCCTTTGCCGAATGGGAATTTATATGTCTAGATTCATGTTTCTGCCTTGCTATGAAGGTGACTGAGTAGCCAAACTGAAAAAAAGAAAGAAAAAAAGAAAACTAGCAGGGTCTTGACACACACTCATGTCCACATGCGGCACAGAGGGACATCTCTGGACTCTCAGACGTAGTGATGCTCATTTTTTGGGCCATGAAAGAGCACTTTCCTGTGTTTTCTCCTGCCTTTGCCTTTAATGAGCTATAACCACGCATGAGCAGGGGGTGTCCCTTTGGAGACCCCCCCTTTCCCGCCTTGGTTATTGGCCCAGCATTACTAGTCATTACCCTCTTGGCCATAACTGAAACATCTGGGAAGACTGGAACAGACTCCTACCACTGAAAGATTTGCATTTCCTTGGAAAAGCCCAAGGGCTTGTGTTTACAGATTATGACTTAATTCATAAATTCCCTGTAAAGTACCACTTCATTGATCAGTGCCTTATATTCCTCTTAAATCGCCCAACATTTCATATACCTTTAAGCCGGTAGAATCTTTGAAGTTAGGGCTCTAAAATTACTAACCCTACCGGCAACCTTCTGTTCCGCATTTTTGTTGCCAAGAGGATAGAGTTAAAAATGTGCAAAATTTTAGAAGTGTATCCAAGTTTGGATTTACTTCCCCCTCCAGCAAAATTTGTTTAAATGCTAATGCTAAGTGTTAGCTTTGACAGCTCACATACTAAAATTAGAACAGGCAAAGATTATCTTGGTTCTTATACCAGGATGACATGCAAATTCATGAGACATCCCATGTTTTTAAAAAGAAAAAAAAATAAACCAGGAGTGACTGTGTGCTCATGTTGTTCTAGCTACTTGGGTGGCTGAGACAGGAGGATGCTTCAAGCCCAGAAATTTAAGGCCAGCCTGGGCAACATAGAAAGAACCTAGCTCAAAAAAAATTGTTTTTAAAAACTAAATGTAGGGCTCACTTTGGGATCATTGCATTACTTTTTCTAAACCTTTACCAAGCCCTTCACCAAACTCTTTAATATTGTGTTTTCATTGTAGCACACTTGGAATTGCTCCTGTGTGTTTACGTGCTGCAGAGGCAGGTCTTCAGCCATCTGTACTGTGTGTATATGTTTGTTTATGCATACAGCCATTAGCACGTGTATTCCTGTGTATACACATATGTACATGCATATTCATGGGTATATGTGAGTGCATTCTTGGACACACTCTGACAGTGCCATCTAAAGAAAGTTAGTAAAATTTCCCCGAAGTAATCTTCACCCTCTTTGCTCTGAATCTTGGACAGACCTCAGCTTTGTAAAATCATCAGTGGCGTCACTGGCGCTGGGTTCAGCAGTGCCTCCAGTGTCACCTGCCTGTCCCGGTCCAGCCCCTCCACAGGCAGACATGAATGTGACTGATGCATTGCACTTTAAGATGAAGAAATCGGCTTTAATTTCTTTGTTTTAATTTTCTTTTCTCCCTCATTTGTATGTTTCCATGATTTTGGCTCTCCTTTTCCTTGCCCCAAACTCCAGGAGGTATGTAACCCCGCAACCTGCTCGCTCGCTCTGCCCAGGCCACTGTCATTGCTGCAGTGTTCTCTTATTTTGTTATTTTGGTTATTTTGTTTTTTACTTGCTGGTGGTAGTGTTAACGCTGCTTCTAACGTATTGTACAGTCCCTAGGGAACTGGTCAGGATCAAGGGTTTGGACAGTGCCCATGTCCTCCCGTGCTGGAGGAAAACAGTGGAGCAGACAGCTAGGTACAGAGAGGCGCATTGACCCCGCTGCACCCCGCCTTGCAGGGACCATGCTTAGAGCAGCTCTGTAAGGCAGAGAAGGGTCACCAGGCATGCACTGTGTACTGAACTCAAACTGACACCTCTGGGTCAACCTCATGGAAGGTGGTTTCTGAAGTGAGGCGCAGGAGAGAGAAAGGAGACTGAAACCCTGGCTTCCCAAAGTCAGGTGCCGACACCATGACTGATAATCAAATTAAGACAAGCTTAGGTGACAGCGCGTCTGCCTTTGTATGGAGAAGGGAAATGATATTCCCAAGGTGAAACGATGCCACTGAACGTTAAAGCCTCAAACCTGGAAGCTCTACCTGGATCTTTGATTCAGTGCCTGGGCGTCGGGGAAGGGCCTCACAGCCTCAGGTTTTGCATTTTGTTTTCTTTGGTTTTTCACTCCCCCCTCCCCCACTTTTTTTCAGTGAATCCTTTCCTTAAAACCTGAAATTGGCTTCTTAGTTATATTGTTGGTGTCTGCTCTCTGCTGCCTTGGGGGAGACCGAGAACTCCTCAGGTTTGTGTTTAGGTGTGCCCTGAGCAGAGATGCACTTAGCACCACTCCAAACACCTGCATTTTCTCAGAGGTTTCGGGGTCTTGCTATGTTGTTCTCAAGGAACCATGGGCAGTCATGGGGAACAGCAGGGGAGGGTCCTGTGAGTTCCACAGGGACTGTTCTAGGCGCACAGCTATCTGTCTGCTTGTTCCATGTCTGTTTTTCGTCCCACGTGGAAATGTTTCCCGTGGGTTTGCAGCAGCGCTTCATGTAGAGAGCTCTGTGACACAGCAAATTGTCCAGGGGAGGTGACCAAGCTTTTATAAATCAGAGAGCTTTCCCCAGCTTTGCTTTTTCTCCTTGATTTCCTTCCATCTTGTTCTTTTTGGCATCTGGCCCACTTTTTCCATGATCTCCGAAGTTGCAGTGTCCCCTGAGTTGGCATCCTGTGATATGCATGGAGGTCAGCATAGATTGTGGTCAGGGTGTGGCCAACCCTGCGAGGGCAGTGCGTAGGACTGGGAGACCCAAGCTCTCAGACTGCAGTGGGGGCGGGAGTTACTTTTTAAGGACATACTGGCTCCAGCTGTGAACCCATTTCCTGCCTTTTTTCTTCTCATTCATCCTAATTCTGCCTGGCTTTTCCTGCTGTACACACGCATGTCCTTATCATTATGGTTTTTCCCTTAACCTTTGGGCTGCTTCTATAAAACTTACAAATTGTGAGGAAGAGAGTCACTGCCTGATATCCACAAGGGACAGGCAGCAGGTGGTACAAGCTTACGGGCTCATACCCTTGGAGCCCGAGTCTGTCCTTTAGAACCTTCTGGTTGGTGGTCCCTCTCTCAAGCCCCTTCCCTAAAGTTGAGGTGGCCAAAGCAGAACTGTCAAGTGGGGTGGAAAAGCCAAGTCCTGTGCTCTTCTGCAGGAGGACTTTCTTCCTGTGCCGTTGCTCACACACTCCTGGGTTTCTCTGGGAAAGCCCGCAGCTCTTGGCATTTAGAAACAGTCCCTGTGAAACTGCCCAGCCCTTTGCTTAGCTGTTGGTGAGGAGTATGAGAGGGCTTGGGATGGGGCCCTGCGAGACATGCTCCAGGAGGAGCAGAGGGTGGTGCCGTCTGTAGGTGAGGTGTGAGCAGAAGGGCCAGTGCTAGGAAGAGTAGGCTTAGCATGTTTATGGAAGGCCATGCATGTCTTGATGCAGGAAAGGATAGGAGTGATTTTGTATGGCTCTTGTCAAGAAAGTTTCCTCTTGACCCCGAGGTAAGTGGAGGAAGAGAGGTGCTCCTGATCATGATTTGAGAGGGGGTGTAGCATCATCCAAGTTGGACAGGTTTAGTGTTCAGCCTAGCCTAACTTTGTGACTCCCACATTTTGCTTACTGAAGAATGTTAAAGGCCTGAGGGAAGCTGTCACCAGACTGCACTGCAGTTAGGGCTCAGCTGGCCCATGACCGCCTTTCCTAGATGTTTTTATTGTAAGTGTCCAGCAAAGACCTTGGAATTGCAGAGCTGCTGAACTAAGTTCTCCATACAAGCCACTCCTTCCCTGGTGGAGAAATCCTGCAGTGATTTCTCAACACGGCTCTGGGGAGATTTTATTTTCAAAACACGAGCTCAGATGGCTAAGGCCAATGTAGAAATTGACTACAACCCGTAAGTTAGGAGGGGATAAAGCTGCGGTAGTTTGGTTCCATGCCCAGAAAAGCTGAATGTGATTGTGCAGAGATCACAAGGCCTCACTTCCTCTTCCTGTTCTCTAGTCATGCCCATGGCACCCTCTGGGGTGCCCAGGTAATAGGAGCAGCGTAGCCTGCACCAAGGTGCTGACCCTTCCCCTTTCCTCTTTTCTTTGCCCATTTCTGCCACACATGGCTTTGGTTGGCTTCTTTAGCCCAAGGCACATTTGCGTTGCCCTGTCATTATTCCCCTGGGTTTACTCCCTACCCACACACTCATCTTGCTGTCCGATTTCATCTTGGGGTGTCACCTGGACACGCTTGCTCTGCTCATATCATAGACTCACTCTGAAAGATGCTTCTGTCTTGGCTGTGCCTTGTCATTGATGCAAACTTTGCCATGGTCTAAATGTTCTCCCTACACCCTCCCCGGCCCCTTCTCCCCTCCCCAAGAAGAGAGCTGTGTGTGTGGTGTAGCCTGTGCTTGCCTGGGTGTCTGTTGTCCAAGTGCATCTCTTTTTGCCCTGCAGGTGGCAGGGTAAAGACCTGGAAGAGACGCTGGTTCATTCTGACTGACAACTGCCTTTACTACTTTGAATACACCACGGTGAGCACCAGTGTTGATGTGGGATGGGCCAGGGCTCAATTCTAAACCACTCAGACCAAGCATGGTGAGAGGGATCCTTGGGGAGATGGTTAGATTTGTCCTTTTACCTCTTCGGGTATTGGTCAGGGCAGAGTTGAAGCCAATGGGAGAACTCAGGTAAGTCTCAGGATGTGAGCCCTAGCCAGGGTGTAGAGTGCCTAGCAAGGAGCTGGACTCACAGGCCATACCTAGTTCCAGGTGGATGGGATCAAGAGGTCCAGAGAGGAGAAGACCGACAGTGCTGGAAGCCACTTCAGAGCTGGGCTAGCAAAAACGATCTTGGACCCATTGCCAAAAATTGTTCGTGGCCTGATAGAAAGGCACATGGAAAAGAAAAAGAAGATAATCGTAATTTGGAGAATTCACATTTTCTGGAGTACTGGAAATGTTGAAGGATTTAATTCAGAAGAAGCCTCAGGAGGTGTAAAATAATAGAGGAAAAAGAAACGAAGTGAAATGGGAAAAGTTAGTTTGAGATTACTTGCAGTTTTAAGAAATTGAAGTTTTCTTAAGCCATGGTAATTCTTTTGTTTTTTAGTCAACACCAAAAGCCTTAACAACTACAGGTCTTGTCAAAAATAAGTCTTTTCGGGATCCCTTGTACATAGAGTACCTGGACAGCCAGCAGCGAAGCAGCTGCTGCCAGACTTACACACGCAGGTGACCTGACGTCCTACAGCGTCTGCCGCCCTCCTGGTCACAGGAGGGTGCAGTAGCTGTGCGTGAGTCTTGACCTTAACCCAGGCAGCTGAGTTAGGGATGCTGGACCTTTTCTCCAGCCATATCTTCATGGCGCTGAAAGTCATCTGTGGCACTGAAGAATAAGATTTAGATTTCTCTTTTGTAATAAAAGTAGAGCTAAAGAGTGCCCTAGTAAAGACATAAAAATTCCAGCCTGCCTGCCAGCTCCTGGTTGTGCCTTGGTGTTTGCTGCCTTGAGGAATAGAAGGGGGTCTTCCTGTGTTCAGTGCTCTGTGCTGTTCTCTGTCCCCATGGAGGTCACATGAGCACGGCCCCTCACGTAGGGAAGGAACTGCATGGCAGTGTCAGTCTTGCTCTCATTCTGCTGGTGACGGCAAATGGGTTCAAGGGCATTTCTGACGAGGGCACTGTACCGAAGGGGCTGCTGCCGTGCCTAGGGAGTTCTACAAGTGTCGGCTTCTCTGTATTTTAAATATTTTCAAATGGTAGTGAATGATAAGATTCTTCCTGCTGTACCCCCGAAGCACTTCTGTGAGCAAACTGCTTGGTAAATCAGTCTGCCCTCCTGTCCCGTTGTTTGCCTTCACATCTTTGGAGTCTCGTCTGGAGTCTGTTCTTTGCCCTCCGGCTTGGGCATCTACGCAGGGCGCTTCTGTGTGCTGGCTGGCCCTGTGATGCTGAGTGGTTTGGGGCCCCTGTGCTCCTCCTAGGGCTGGTGTGGTGTTAGTGCCTCTAGGCAATGGGGTAGGAACTGAAAGGTGTCGTTAAGCTAAAGGTGGTAATTGAAATTTCCACACAGAATCACCTAACTCAGATAGCAATTAGCTAGTAATACATGGAGAAAAGTAGTGACCAGACAAGGAAAAAGCTTGGCCAGGTCAGTGGGAGATAGCAACAGCTCAGGGGAGCTGAGAGGTCCCACAGCGGAATCTCGTGTTTGTTCCCTCTGACTTGGAACAGTAAAGTCTGCTACGGCTGGAAACTGGTGAACAGGAAGTACTCAGACAGGCTTCGCTGACTGTGATGCAGAGCAAAGGCACAGACCAGGTGTGCAACCGGGAAACCGCAGCACGAGGTGTTCCAGTGCGTGAGCCAGCGCTAACTGCACACTCACACTGCAGAGTAGAGCCGTGCCTGGGAGTCTCAGACGGGCCCTCCCACCACTTGTCATTCTTCGCGAGACTCTTTCGCAAGACTCTGGAAAGTGCTAGAATGCAAAATGCCCAGTCTTCCACCACAGATCAGGAAGCACTTCCACCACGAGGCGCATCAGTCACTCGGGCAGAGTCAGGAGAATTCCCAGGACAAGGCGGAACAGGCAGAGCGGGGAGGCTCCAGGCTGCAGGCAAGGAGGAGCTCAACCTGCCTGTTTCGGATGTAACTGTACGGCCATAGAATTGCAGCTTACTAGTTAGTTAAATTACAACTTTAAAGAGTAGAGCACATTAGATGACAATGCTGTTTCTGTCCCAGAAGGACGAATTCAGCCAGATTGTATCTGAAAAAGATAAATGTTTAAAAAGTAGAATAAAGCTATGAAGGAGACAATTGCAATACATTCCTCATTTAACCCCTCAGTTCCAGTCCCTTGATTAGATCTTAGCTGGATTGATCACTAAGTGAGCGACTGTATATAGTATGTACTTTATAATATTCAGAACAAAGAAACAGTTAAAGTCCAACTTGATGATTGCTTTTATTTGTATATACAGTACTGTAATGTATAACAACATGAAACTGCAGTACTGTACTGTACAATTGGCAAAAGTTACAGTACTGTATAATCAAGGTGTGCTGTATCCTGCCCAAAAAAACATTGAGGCTTAACCAGATAGGTCATTAAATTAATATCTGTACCACAATAATTGGTACCTGCAGGATCAAAGATGTGATAAATCAATGAGATTATTTCATGGAAAGGAAAGAAAACCAGAAAACAACATGCATGCATTTGCAAGTCAAGAATGCAGTGTTTCGGGAAAAACAGCCACCTAGGTGACTCCTTAGAGAGGCGTGGCCCTGCATGTCAGCCTGCTGAGTATGCAGCAAGGGGCGAGAGAAAAAGCATCCATCAGCCTTTCGTGCCTGAGGGTAGTGGGTCAGGGTCTGCCAGTCCAGAGGGAGGGACGAAGAGGGGCCTTTGTCGAGCCATGTTAGCATCTAATAAAGCACAGCTTACCCAGCAGCACTGTCACATGGAAGAACGGGAAATGCGCGCTGCAGATCCTTCCTGAGGAGCACGGCCTGCCAGTGAAGAGCCAGCCAGGGAGGGAGGAAGCAAAGGAGAAGCCCAGGAAGCGGAGGAGTGGTGGCCAGCATTCGCCTCTCTGATCCACTTAAACATGGACCAGGTATCCTGATGTCAGCCAAGCCTCTTTGAGAATGGCAGCCCAATCATTCCTTTGGGTCCTTGTTGAAAAACTCTGCAGAACACTTGGAACTTTTTTTTTTGGTACTGGGGATCAAACTCATGACCTCATGCTTGCCAGGCAGGCACTTATGCCGCTGAGCTAAAGCCCCAGCCCCACTTGGAACTTTGGTAGACAGAGAATGCTGTATGTGAATTTGGTTTTGCAACATAAACTGTAAGAGATAATCTTTTGTTTTTGATCAGCGTTATCAGTGCTCCCAACAATATCAAATGGAAGTCTTCCTGCTGTCATCTCAAACCGTACCCCACAGGCCTGCCAGGCACCCTGAAACCATAACCATCTCCTCACCACTTCATGGGCAGTGTAACTAGGAGCACCACAGAATGTGCTGATCATACTTCCTGCTGGAAACCCTTCCTTTCGTGTATGATAGTCCAGTAATACGTTGTGCAGTTTCAAATCTCTATAGGTTATCCCTCATGAAGATAATGCTAAACTGACTTCTGCAGAGTAAGACCTAGCATGTCCTTCGGGAAGTTTTCCTCATTGATGCATTTGAAACAGTAGATCTCCACTGCTTAACATACCCTGCCACGAACAGTCCGCTTTCTGTCTGAAAGCAAGAATGCAGACCAGCAAGAAAAGGAGGATTTACAGGCCTGTTTCAAAATATGCTTCTCTCAACTGGTACAACCACTGTGGAAATCGGTGTGGAGATTCCTCAAAAAACTAGGACTGGAGTTCCCATTTGATCAGCTATTCCACTTTCCGGGTATTTTCTCAGGAGATTTAAAAGTATCATACCACAGTGACATACACTTGCACATGTATATAGCGGCACAGTTTATGATAGCCAAATCTTGGAAACAGCCCAGATTCCTATCAACCGAGGAATGGGTAAAGAAGATGTGGGGTTTTTTTCTTAATTATTGTTAAATAGGAAGAAAATAAAATGGGAAGGGGACCAAAAGAGAAAAGTAAAAAAACAAACAAAAAACATGCTTTTCTCTTTGTACTCGGTCAGTATCCTCATCATTACTGACAAACTTTTTTCACAAGTTTGATTGTATAAATACGATTTTTTTTTTTCAATTGAAACAGTAGTACTTTTATGTAACTTCCTCTCCCTGTAGCACAGCGGAGTCCTAACGACCTAACCTGGACAAAGCTCCTCGCCACAGTCTCTGGTGGGCTCTGCCTCCTTTTCTTCACTGCCTGCTCACAGCTCTCAGGATCTGAAAGATTAGATGGGATCATTTCTGGGTGTGGTCTGAATGTGTAGGTGACAGTTCCACTAGCATCATGGGTTCTGGTGGGAAGGAATGCTGCCCACATTTAATTGTGATCCATCTGTTACACTTAGGAGCTAAGAGTTTGGTTGACACACATACATTCCTGGCATGGGAATCCCATACTGTAGCTCAGTGCAGATGGCACAGTGAGTGTGCATTCATGACAGAGTCCTCTCCACGGGTGCGTGCCTCTGCAGGAGATGAAGTTATCTTCTCTTGGGTAGGGTGTTCCAGGATGTTCTGGTACACAAGGGAATATGTGAATGAAGAGCTCAGAACCTTTTGTTTAGATGATATGTGACATGAATCTCCTCATCTACCCATATCGTGGTGAAAAGCTGTTCACTGTCAAAAGAACACGTTCCAAACTTCATTGCAAAGATCCTCAAAGCAGATGGCAAGTTAAGAATATGTTACCATAGTATCTCTTCCCATCATGAAGCTCTGTCAGGTGAAGGTCTAGGTCCTGCAGGTGCTGGGAAAGAGGGATCCTAGAGAGGCTAGCTGCTCAGGAAAGCTGGCACAGGGACCCCATGAGAGAGCGAAGCTTGACTGCCCATACCATCTACAGGGCCAGGCTTCTGCAAGACTCCCACTGAGTGATTTCCAGGAGCAGTGGCTGGGTCCAGGTGGACTTGCATGGGCCTCTTGCTGTCTCTGGGCTTTTAATGATCAGGTCTGGTGAGACTTGCCCTGGGTTCTCTGGCATCTTTGTGCTCTTGGTAGTTGGGCCTAGAGAGATTTTTTCGGGAGAGGGAGACCCTTGATTTTTCTGGGGGGCTGGTGGCTGGCCTGAGAACTTTCCTGGCCTTATTGGCTCTCAGTACTAGCATCTGAGCCTTGGGAAACCTTTCCTGGGCTCTTTGGTATTTCTGTATGTCTGATGCCCAAGTCTGGGATGGTGTTGCTGAGCCTAGTGAGAGTTGCCCCAAGCTCCTTGGTGGCTCTGGGTACCTGGTGGTTGTTCCTGGGGAGACCTGTTTTGGGCCGTTTGTGACAGTTGACCAGCTCCTACAGCTTGGCCTGAGGCCCCTGGATGGATTCAGCTACCTCAGTCACTCAGAGCTGCTTGCCTGCCTGCGGTTCTGAGGCTGCAGCTTTGCAAAGTAGAGAAGCAGCTCAGCAGGTTTGCTGTTGGCAGGTTCTAGCAGGGCAAGTGGCTGTCACTAGATTGTGTTGTCTGTTAATGGTTGGAAGTTTTCTTTGGTCGTGTTGCCAAGGAAGGGAGGGCATGGACCAGGCATAGTGGCACATGCCTGTAATTCCAGCACTTGGAGACAGAGACTGAAGATCACTGCAAGTTTGAGGCTAGCCTGGGCTACATAGTGAGACCGTCTCCCTTTACCCCCAAAACAAGAAAAGAAAAAAGGAAGTCTTAAGGTTTACAAGCTGAATTCCCCCTTTAATAAGAAGACCTTATGGCCCATCTCTTATACTAGGTAAATCAGTGGCTGTTTACTTACTACCTTTGTCTAAGTGTCTCTATATCCTTTCATCTGTCAATTGGTCTTTTGCTGTTGCAGTAGCAGAGCTTGAACCCCACATCTCACACTGAGCTACACTCCCCGGACACTTTGCAGATGCGGAGTCCCTCAGGTGGCCAAGTCGGGCTTCTCTTTGCAATCTTCTTGCGTTGGCTGCCCAGAGTGCTAGGGTTAGCTTTCTGTGAAATTAGGCGTTGGTGCCATTGTAACTTTGAAAGCAGCATGTGTGCCTCAACACTTACGTGGCAGGCACAGTGCTGAGGGGTCTTGTCATACAAAGGAGCCGCTTCCTCGGTAGATGCCGTGTGAGATGGATTGATTATATCATCATTTTCCTTTAAATATGGAGTATTCAGACATTCCAGAAATTTCCACAATAATTTTCCATAAGAGAGAGAAAGGTTGGTTTTAAATTGTAATTTTTGGGATTGTGGTGGATCCTTAGCGAGTTTTAGCTTTTAGGTGCATACAACTAATTAATTATTCATTCTTATCTAATGAGTTTCTAGACGCAGGAAAGCTGTAACCGCTGTCTTTAGTCTTTGTGTCTCGCAGAGCTTACTCCATCAGTAAATCCCTGTTGGCCTTTCTGAGTGCTGCCGCCCGTCAGTGGCTGACCGCGACTCGCGGCTGTGTGAATTAACCCTAGGCTGCTGTGTGCCCAACTGCTGGTGGCAGTTTGCATTGTTCCCAGTTTTGACTTCGCAATCCTAGGCTTTCACTTGAACCTGGTGGGAGTGGTCTCCACTGCCACGCCTGTGACCATGTGGTACATGGAGCTGATGTCCCTCTGGGTCACATCTCCTTACTCCTGCTCCTTGACTTGGGAGGCCTCAGGGGGACAGCATGGAGGACTCAAGCCACCCACACCTGCTGGAGAGTTTGGCCACCCTCTTCCTACCTGCTTGCCTGCCTCGTGGCTGACCCTGGAGCCCCGGCTCAGCTTGTCCGCCCACCACCCGAACTAATTCTTAAACACACGTAAATACAGAGCTAATACTAAAATACACTGACAGTGCCAAAATACACCAAAATACAGGACTGGTGCTAAAACATACTGAAAATAGAACTTTACTATGTTTAACTGTAGAACTAATACATATGCTTGAAGAACTGACACTTGAATATACTTAAATTTTTAAAAAGTCTTAAATATCAAACAGATGCTAACGTACACTGAAATGGAGAGCTAATGCAGAGCTGTACTGAGATGTGGGGTAAATTTGTCTCGGTATGGATTTGCTGCAGGGCAGGATTTGTGTGGTACACATCTGGGCAGCATGGAAAGGAAACCAGAAGAAAGAGAGGTGTGAAGAATATTATCTTTCAGAGCTGGGTTGCGCACGCCTGTAATCCCAGCACTCAGGAGGCCAAGGCAGGAAGGTCCCCATGAGTATATAGCCAGCCTGGCTACATAGTGGGACCCTATCTACAAAAGAAAAAGAAAAAAAGAGCTGTTAAAATTAAAGCCTCCTAAGGTTTCTCATAAGCTGTTTTAAAGAAACTTCGAATATGATCATTTTAGAAAATATCTCTTAGGGTAAAGAAAATTTACTTTGATGTTCAATATTTTTTAGATTGTTTCATTTTTTTCTTAAAGTCTGTATCACTGAGGTGGAATGTATCTGACAGTACCATGTGGAGTAGCCCATTGTCCTAAAACCTATCCTTGTCCTCTGTGTACCCATAAAATGACCCCGTCAGCAGTGGGAATTCATTAGTGATTGGATGTGGAGTGCTGTAAAACACTTCTACCTTTTTTGTTTTCTGCAGCATTTTAAGTTCTTTTTTTTTTTGTCTTTTTCCTTTTAATCGGTACTGGGGACTGAACTAACGACTGTCTGCTTGCAAGGCAGGCACTTATGTCGCTGAGCTAAATCCCCAGCCCCTCATTTTAAGTTCTTTAAAGTGAGCAAATATTAGTTTTTACAAAATAGTAGTTGCTCTTAAGTTAAATATGCCACACAAGTTATTGTTGGTTGACTCTGTCCTGGTGGGGAGGTGGGTGGGTACTGGGCATGAATGGAGCACCTGTCAGCAGGCAGTGGACCCTCCTGCCCACAGTGGTCCAGGAGTGGTGCTGGCTGTGGAGCTCTGGGTCTGGTGCCCGCTAAGCATACTCGATCACTGAGCTAACCCCTAGCAGCACAGCTGGAGGAGAGGGACCTCATTGGAAGGAAGCCCCACGACACTGCGAAGACCCTTCTGCAGCCTCTGAGGTGACACACTGTAGCTGGGAATGAGGAGCAGGTCCCCAGCACACCCTGCAGCAGGACAGTCCAAAAAGCCCTCAGAAGTCAACAGGGTGCTAGACTCACATCTCACCAGAAAAAAAATTCCAAAAAATCTCCCCAAAAGACCAAAAAAAAAGGGGGGGGGGAATAAAAGAAAAGTTGTTTATTCAAAAAAAAAAAAAAAAAAGCGCAAGAACTGGTTGAGGAGACCCCACATGTTTTAGAGAAGATAAGAATGAGTAGGTGAACCTTGCCAAAATAATTATATAGACTTTCTCCAGATAAAAACTGTTTCCAGGTTGAAAAGCTTACCAAATGCTTGCATGATGGCCAGAAATAGGCCCACACCAAGTTCATAGCCAGAGATGGAGCTAAAATCAGCCACACACAGCAGCAGTCATGGTGTCCTAAGATTCAGAGAAAAGTTAAAGATTGAAAATAGTTGCCATGGGAGCCAGGGAATGACTTAAAATTTTACTTCTTGCTTTTATGAAACATGTAGGACTGGTCGATTTTGTGCATGTGTTACTCTGATCAAGTATGAAAACTTGCAAAGTGTTAAGCCATGGTGTGGTCATGGATGTGGCGGGGCCTTGGCCAGGATGGGCCTCGATGAAGAGATCAGACAAGGGCGAGCCTGGTATGGGCTCCATTCTGCATATGAGCACAGAGGCAGGAGGCGCTGCCGTGAGGGCTACCACAGTCCAGCAGTGAGGGTCAGTGGAGGCAGTGAAGTGTAAAGTCGTGTGACATGGCTGCGGTCCCGGCATTGGGGCAGGGCAGGAGCACCTAGGTGGAGGCTGCAAAGGCTTCCAGGAGCTGCTGGTGCCAGCACCAAGGCTGAGAGGGAGGAGCCAGGTAAGAAGCAGGAGGAAGGCATAGGCCGGGAGCTTATGCATCCCAGCTGGAGGCATAGGGCTGTGAGGGAACCTGTTGGACCTCCGTACTCTGTGACACCCTAGAGCCTTGGCCCTGTCCTCACTGTATATCCTGGAGGTGGGCTGAGGCTGATAGCCACTGTCATGCATGGGGGCAGCAGAGAGGGAGGACTCAAGAGCAAGTGTGACCCTGAATGGTCTTTCTGTCTGCACTGCCCCTCAGGATAAAGAGCCCCGTGGGATCATACCCCTGGAGAACCTGAGCATCCGGGAGGTGGAGGACTCCAAAAAACCAGTGAGTGTTTCTGCTGAGAGGAAAAGGAGAGTGGGAAAAGAGAGAGGGACAGCAGTCCTTTGAAAAACCAAAGTTTTTGCGCTTTTTTTTTTTTTGAATAAACAACTTTTCTTTTTAAGAAAAACACAGCTTGAAAAGTACTTTCATGCCTTCAGTTTTGGCTAACTTTAAATTATCTTTGGGGTTCAAGCCAACTTCTGCTGGGTCCCGCTGCGTCAGTATCACTTGGGTGAGGTACAGAGATTGGCCCTCCTTCAGTGTCAGCAGGGCCACTCCTGACTGAACTGGTTATTTGTACCCACGGGACACCTGGTGTGGACTACTGTAAGGTTTTTAGGTCAGATTTCAGAGACCCTGCATTCAGCCCATTTCCTGTCCCTTAGGCGTGGCCCTAACTCCTGCTGGCTAGCTGGCCTGTGCTGAGAGCCCTGTTCCTTACAGGTGGCCTCCAGCTCCTCTGTGCCATAGGAAAATATGTACTGCTTGGATTTTATGATAGAATAGAGCTTTCTGGGAAATAATTTTACCATTTGCTTTTGCTGCAGCTTTCTAAGATCTGTCCATCGCTGTCTTCTTTTTAATCACAGAACTGCTTTGAGCTCTACATCCCTGACAATAAAGACCAAGTAATCAAAGCCTGTAAGACGGAGGCTGATGGGCGGGTGGTGGAAGGGAACCACACCGTGTACCGGATTTCAGCCCCTACACCTGAAGAGAAGGAAGAGTGGATTAAATGCATTAAGTAAGTAACGCGGATGTCACCCGACCATGACTCATCTTCCTCTTGTACCTGCAGTCCTGGCGTTGGGATTTGCCCCTTGTGTGTCTCCCTAGGGGAAGCCCCGCCTAATTGCCAGTCGTGGGCTTGCATTTGGAAGGCTGCCCTGTGTGGAGCTCCTTGCTGCTGTCTCCCTTGGAAGGGCATCCAGTTTCTGGCCCTGTCGAGCGGACGAGGCAGGCTCGTGCAGGAGGCAGGCTGGTGCACTGCCTGGCCTCTGGCAACTTCCCTGGGTGACGGCTGTGGCAGGAACCAGGCAGTTCCCTCAGCAGGCCACGTCAGGAGGCAAGGCTTTCACCACCTGTCCTTGGTGCTTCCTGAGAGCTGTGGAGACTTCACCCCTGGTGAACGGGGGCCCAGTCAGCTTGCCTAGCAGGGCTGCCACAGTGTGCTGATAAGGTCTGGATTAGAACTTGGCTGTGCGGACATGGAGCTGGCATCAAACATAGGTGTGAGGTTGGAATGAGCAGAAGCCCCATCTTGTCCTGTGTCTGGTGCATCTCTTTGACAGCCACGTGTAGAAACAAGGGTTGAGGACACTGACTTAGTTCTGTCCCTTACTTGTTTGGTTTTCTCCCGTTTTCTGTGCTCCAGAGCAGCCATCAGCAGGGACCCTTTCTACGAGATGCTTGCAGCACGGAAAAAGAAGGTCTCTTCCACGAAGAGACACTGAGCAACCTGCAGCGCTGCGGCTTTCTCCTGCACCCACGGATGAGCACTGCAGGGCAGAGGCGTCCTCAGCCGGCCCTGCCTGAGTTCTAGAGATGAGCTTCAGCTTTTGCATTTTTCTTCCGGGGAGAAAGGGTGGGCAGTTGTCACTGGCAGGGGACTGACGCCTGCAAGCACAGGCTCTCGGCCTTTCCCTCCAGCGTGAGTGGAGCTCCCGACCCGGGGCAGCTGTACTCGTCTGCTCAGCGGGGCTGCGGCAGAGCCGGGCGAGCCCTGTGTACCTCTCGGTCACCTCCTGCGTGGAGCCTTCCTCCCTGCACTGCGTACACTCACTGGCTGTGTGCTTGTACGGTAAGAGGAGAGGCGGAAAGGAAGCGAAGCCACGTACTGTAAAGATCTATTTTTGTTTTCTAAAAAGAAGCTGCCCTGCCTGTTTGGAGACCCCCATGGAGAAGGGCTCCCAGGCTGCTGTGGCTCCTCCTGTCAGGGCCAGCTGCCACCTGCCAGGAGTGCTGCCTAGCAGCCCCTCTGGGCGAAAGAGGGCTGGTACCATGCAGCAGTGTAGGGAGGCTCTGCAGTGGGTGGTACAGGCAGCTCCCGCCCAAGTGCCTGTGGGCCTCCGGGAGAGCAGCGGAGGGGACTCACTGGACACTTCCGGCGTCTGTCTCCCTCAGAACCCAGGTTTTGCTGGGCTTTAAATAGAAAGTCAGCATTTTCCTTGAGCTAAATACCTAATAACCAAAACTGTGAGGAGGTTATCCCAACAGGTTCTGGGGTGACCTCACTGGTTCCTATCTGGTTTTTCTGTCTCATCCCCAAACTCTACTCCTCGTTCTAGAGGAAGGAGGTCTTACCTGATTCCTGTGGGGCTTCAGCCTTTTCTGCCTCAAAATGGCCCTAAGAGGGCTCCTCTGGTGCGCTGTGTGGTGGCCTCCGGAGGGCAGGGCCTGGTCTGCTCAGCAGGGGCAGTGGAGTGGGAGGTCGGTTGCTCCCCCTCCTCTCCCCTGCAGCGTGTGTGTGAGTGGGCCGCCCCTCCTGTACGGTGTGAAGGGAGCCATGAAACGCAGTGTTCTGCTGTTCTCTCAGGGACTCTCAAGGGCAGCTCCTGCCACATGGCCAGGCAGAGCAGGTGGTGGCTGGACCTCGGCACACCCTCTAATGTCCAGGTCAGTGCGCAGGAGCCTGGTCCTGTGGTGGTGTGGACTGGCTCCTCTGATGCCATAGGCTAGGGAGCATCTCTGGAAATAGCTTTGCAAAAGGGTGGGAGGCAGGGGAGGGTGGCATCTGGCCCCTTCCCATAGCTCCCTCCTGGCGTGGCTTCAAGCCTTCACCCTGAGCTTGTGAAGGTGGTGGAAGTGGGTCTGGGCTGGAAACCCGAGCTTTCCAGCAGAGAACCAGAGCAGCGCCAGCCTGAGCTCCTTTGGAGGCCCAGGCCCTCGCGCTGGTTCTCACTGGTGTTTCCTGGACAGAGGCACCTGGATCAGTATTTGTCTATTTATCAGAGGTGTAAATAATCCATGTATAGTTTTGCTTTTAGATTATTTTGTATTTGTTTTAAAAATTTTTTTTGTCAAAATATAGAATATAAAGAAATAACTGAAAGTTGCTGACAGGGTTTTTAAAAAAATTATAATTACTATTCCAATTGTTTCTGTTCGTTCGTTTTTGCCTTGTAAACTAGCACCAAGGAACTGCAGCAAATAAACTCCAACTCTGCCCAAACCACTTTTGTTGTCTGCAGTGGCTGTTTTCTCAGGGGGCTCCCACAGGGGACAGGGGCCGCTAGCTGTGCAGTGAGGCAGAGTTTGTCACTCCTGTCTCAGGCGCAGCCGTGATGGCGGGAGGTCTTGTCCTCTCTTCAGGACAGAGCAAGTGAAAGAGTTGGCTTCGTCTCCCTCCTCCTGCCTTTCCAGGAAGAAATGAGTGTCAGACACTCAGCATCAAGATCAAGAAATGTGCCTCAGTCACTATGTGTTTTCAGCATATTTCACCCTTCAGAGATGCCCACATGTGCCAGGGCATGTGCAGGACAGGGTACAGAGGGAGAGCTCTGGGCAGGAGCAGGTCCTTGGGGATGCTTCCTGGAGTAAAGAGCCAGGTCTGGACCCACTCTTTGGGCAGACTTTTCATCAGCTGGGCTCGTCTCTGCATTTGCCAGGAGAGGTGAGGAGCAGCTGCCCACGTTCGGGCCCAGCTTACTCTGTACTCTGCTTTGTGTCCTTCCGTCTCCCAAAGCAGCAACCTTGTTTCTGCCTGCCTGTCTTAGCTCTGCCTCTGTCAGGTGAGTCCCTCTCTGGTGCCTTTGATTCCTTTCAATCAAGCTCTGAAAATATTCAAGTTTTGTTTAAGGAATGACTCCCCAAGTTGCTCTTTTGTCAGGAGCAAGAGAAAGGTATGTGCTCTTACCGCTGCTCTGCAGCGCTACACCAGAGGTTTGCATCGGGACACAGCAGCAGGAGGAGCAGGAGACAGCAGATGGGAAACGAGAGGCCAGGTGCCTTGCAGGTGATAGGACCATGTAGACAGGAAATCCTGAGGAATCTACAAAAAGACTACTAGAGCAGATTAATTCAGTAAGATTATAGGACATAAGATAAATCTATAAAAGACAGCTGTTTTCAGTGCATTAGCTGTGAACAATCCAAAAAAGAAATTAAGAAAACAGTTCAATTTTTATTAGCATTAGAAATAATAAAATAGGGATGTTTCCTTAATGTATAAAGCTTTTATACTAAAGACATTAAAGAAGACATAAAGATCTCAGATTCATGGGTTACAGGACTTAATATTCAGATAACAGTACTCATCGAATTTATCTACAAATTCAAGACAGTCCTTATTAAAATTCCAGCTGCCTTTTTTTAAGGAAATGAAAAGCTTATCTTAAAGTTCACATGGAAATGTAAGGGACCAGGAATAGTAAAAACCAAAATCAGAAGACTTACATCTTCCAGTTTTGCAATTCACAATGATGGGGACTCTTAAGCTCAACATCTCTGGCCCTCAGAAAAATACAAATTAAAACAATGCTAAGTTTCTGTCTTACTCCAAAAAGAATGACACTCACTAGGAAATCAGATGGGAGCAAGTGCTGGCGAGGCTGTGGTGAGAAAGAGCCCTCCTTCACTGCTTTTGTTTTTTGGGTTTTTTAAAAATTTTTTTCTTTCTTTTTTCCGGTACCGGGGATCTCACAACCGCCTGCTTGCCACTGAGCTAAATCCCCAGCCCCTAGAGCCCTCCTTCACTGTTAGTGAGAAGGTAAACTGGTGCAACCATTATGGAAATCAGTATGGAGGTTCCTGAAAATACAGTAGAAATTCCACATGCCTCGGGGGTCCCTGTTCATGTCTTCCCCAGAGTTTAAGACATCGTACCACAGCAGTCCAGGCATACCAGTGTCCGCAACAGCGCACTGTGTGATAGCTTCCTCCTGGAAGCAGCCTGTCTTCCCACTGACGGATGGCTGTGAGGAGAAAATTTGGTATCTATGTAATGGGACACTGCTCTGCTGTGAAGAATGACATGTGTGAGGCATTTGGAGGGAAATGGATGCGCCTGGGAAATAGATGGCTGAGTGAAGTAAGCATGGAGAGAGCTCTTGCAACAGGGACGTAGGACAGGGCAGGGGAGTGAGGAGGAGGGGCAGGGAAATAAATAGCAAATAAGGATGTGCCATGCACAGGAACCTAACAACCTCAACTGATTAAACATACCGTAACATGAACAAGAATGAAAAATGGAGGAGGGAGGGAAGGGTAAGGAGATTAAAAAAAGAAACAAGCCGGGTGTGTACCTCTGACCACTCTCCAAGATGATTGTAAACTGCAGGGGCTTCGAACACGAAGTAATAAAGTACCTTTAAAAAAAGACTGGTGCTGGCAGAAGGGTGAACATAACAGACCAGCTGGAGAATCCATTGAGAGTTCAGGAAAACCCCATACATTTATATGCAGCTGATTTCAGATGGTGCCAAGGCAGTCGGGTGGAGGTAAGAACAGTACTGTGTTGGAATATCTTTATATTAAGTTGGACTGTATTTATATCCATGTGCAAAAGAATGAAGTTAGACTCATCTATAAAAAGCATCTCAAAGACCTCTCAAAAACATTATAAAAGCTACAGCCAAGTTGTTAAGTATGACACCCTAGGATATAGAAGGAAAACCAAGCCAGACTCAGTTTCCCCTCGTACACACAGGTGCTTGTGATGCCAGATGCCCCGGGGTCTCTCACACTCGGTGCCAACGGTTCCCTGGTGGGTACCGGCTGCGTGTCCTCGGATCCTGGTGGTGTCAGATTGTCAGCTTAGTCCCCAAGACTGCCACCCCCACTTCATTGATTCCTGCAGAAAGCCCTAAGTGGTTTTTACCCGTGCTTTGACCAACTGGTATAAACTGGGGCTCCACAACCTCTTGTCAAGTACAGTTAACTTGCTCAAGCAGCTGCAGAACTTGGGTGACATACCAGGACAATATAAAGGATGTCACGAAGGTAAGATAAAGAGAACCCTGTGTGCCGCAGTGTCCCCGAGAGATAGTCTGGGCGGGGAGCTGGCCGGCCTGTCTGCTTGGCAGGCGTGGCCCCTCTGGGCAGCATGGCTCCCTGTAGAGGGTGGGCAGCACCCCTCTAGAATGAGGGCCGGGTCCTCACAATCTTGTCCTACTACTGTCAGACAAAAGAGCTCAAAATGATGAGCCAGGAGCCTCATGTGAAAACCAAAAAACAGATAAATTTGACTTCATCACAATTGAAAACTTACACTGTTTTGGGTTTTTTAAAACATGTCCTTTAGAGCATTTGACTGTGGCTTGGAAATTTCTTAATCTTCATGTTGAAGTTTGGTTGCTGGAGTGACAGTATAAAGAGGCAGGACCTTTGGCCCGGGGCCATTATTTCAGGAGTGAGGAGTGGGGTTCCCCTGCCTGCCCCCTCCCCCAAGTTTCCTAACCTGGTTATCTGCAGTGACTTGCTGCAGGAAGGACCTCTACAGACTTGAGCTTCCGTGAACGCACAGATTGTTACACAAATGGGAGCAGACCGTCCTGACCCGTGAGGGGTTCGGGAATAGGTGACACAGTCACAGCTGGGGCTGGGATCCTTCCCTCCCTCCCTCTGGTCCTCTGCATCTCAGCACGTGACCTTTCTGAAACCAGTTCTCTCCTCTTGGCCTAGCGCCTTGTGTGGACTCAGCTGTGCGTACCTGTGTTTGCCACGCGCCTGCTTCAGGCTCGGCTGCTTAAACTTTCGTTACCGGAGTCTTAGACCGGAGCCCGAGCTCCTAGGGTCGGGACATCACCAGTTACCATGGGTCCTTGCTTTAATGGGAGCAGAAATTAAAACAGCAGTATTAGTTCAGAGGCAAGAGTTTTAATGGGAAAGTAAGAGAAAATAAAGGGAAGCAGGGCTCTTAAGGGAAAGTCAGAGAAGGTAGGGAAAAGGCCCACGTTGGGGAACTGAAAGCTGCACAGGTACAAAGGAGGCCATTGGACTGGCCTGTTCAGAATGGTGACCACGCTTTCAGGCGCACAGCAGGGTGGGGTCCTGTTGACCCTTATCTCAGTCTTGGTGTGGCAGCACTGGGGTCCTCCCAGCTTGAGGAGTATTCTGTTCTCATGAACTGATTGTCACCACTTGGGGCAGTCTCAGTCCTGGGGGGCTCTGCTTTTTCTGGGACTAGGTGGCTGTAGGTTTAGGCCAGTGGTGGGAACCTATGGCACGCCAGTTGTTTTCTTTTAAGACAGAAGATGTTAATGTATGTGTTGTTTTTATAAGCCAAAACCTCAGCACGCAGGCTCCATTGCATTGCTGGCGCTCTGAGGTAAATCTGGGTTTGGGTGCCCTCAGTCTCTATGGGTTCACTGTTACTGGTTTAAAACAGCAGCTGGAGATAGGGGCGTCACTCCAGGGAGGAGCTCTGGAGCTAGGTGTGGTAAATCCAGCAACCAGATTGTCTTACCCTGGTCACTGTCCTCATGGCTGGGACAAAACATCTGACACCCACAACTTAATGGAGAAGAGGTTTTATTTTGCTCTCAGTTGCCATCGTGGCTGCTGGTTCCAAGGCTAAGGGCAGCACAGTGGAGGGACAGCGGCTCACTTTGAGACAGCTGGGACTCAGACAGTGAGGGCAGGAGCCAGGGGCTGAGGAGGGACACGACTTCCAGGGCCTGCCCCGTGACGCCCCTGGAGCTCAGTCACATCCTGCAACCTGCTGCTTCTGCCTTGTGAGGCTTGGGAGGGACACTGCAGACCCAACACCGGAGCGCAGGGGCCTGAGACCCAAGCGTGACTTCAGCTCTGCTTGCCTGGATGTGCTCAGTCCTGCAAGGGGATGAAGTGGACTTACCCTACTTACACCCAGCACTTGGAGGAAATAAAGTGGACAAGAGGGTGGTCACTGTTGTAACCTCCCCTGGGCCCAAGCGAAGAACCATAGCTTTTAGCAAAAACCACTTGTAAGTCTTTGGCTCCCTCAGAATAAAACAAATCCTTTCTCAGTAACAGGGTGAAGGCCCAGCAGTTTCTCCTGTGTCTTTATGACAGTGTCTGTGTCATGGCTGTGTCACTAATAGACCAGGACAGCATTCACCCCAAAAGACCAAGAAGAAAAAGGCAGTGGTAAAGTTGAAAAGGAACTCGTATGGACCCATCAAGGAGAGAAGCAGCTGGCTGGTGATGGACTCCGGTCATTCAGGGGAGGACCAGAGGCGAAGGGTGGACCAGGAG